TTTTAAATTCAGGTACATCTTTTTTGTGTTTATTTTGTCAATCAGAATTTTACTAGTTATTAGGGAGGGGAAAAAGTGTTTAAGATACAATCTCAGCCTTTGATGAACAGCCACTTTTATTAAAAGACACTGGATATATGAAATATAATAGTCAACATTCTGTAACTCTGACAAAAATACTTGAGGGCTGAAGGACATTGTATGTATGCATATATATATACATATATGCATGCATACATGTAAACACACACATGAGAGCAGCATAATAAAACCCACCAAGAACTGTTAGAAAACTGGGGGAGGAAAGAAAGGAGAATATGGTGGAGGAGGTAATTTGTTCAAATGCACTGTATGCAACCTTTCAGAATATATATGTATATGGATTCAAAGATTAAAAATAACATTCATTAATTAATTATCAAAAACTAAAAATGTGGAAAGATTTATTTTGGTTTGCAGTTACTAAAGTGTTCAGTCTATGGTCACTTGACTTCCTTGCTTTGGTCTTATGGTAAAGCAGAACATCATGGTACAGGGTAAGACAAATCTGTCCACCTCATGGTGGCTGGGATACACAGAACAAGAGGATGAGCTGAGGTCTGTCATAATATCCCCTTTGAGAGCACACTCCTGGCCACTGAACTTCCTGCCAATTGGCCCTAGTTTTTAATGGTTTCTACATCTCCCAATAACACCACAGGCTGGTAAACAAGCTTTTAATACATGGCCTTTGGGGACCTTTTAAGATCCAGTTATAACAGTATATAACCTGTGGTGAACACTGGATCTCATTGTAGATTTGCCATTGAGAGCAAATTTCCTCCAAGAGTAGACTGGATAAAGAGCTAGTTTCTTGGATATGTGAGCTTCTTGTGGGTGGGGCTATACTTTGGGGAGAATTTCTGACCAGATATGCTTTTTTTACTAAATTTACCTTAATCTGATTTCAAAAGTGAACATGTTTGACTTTTATCAATATAGTTGATTTTTATTGCTATTCATTAATGCTATGCTACTAATTTTGGTAGGTGAATGTGTCTGTTCAATTATTTCAAAATATTATCTTGGTTACATTATTTCATAGCTGAAATCCATGAGACTGCTTGGTCTTCCTCACAAGGAAGACATAAATGTGGACAGAGCTCAGACTAGTGAAGTTATACAATCTTAGGAAAATTTATGTTATATTTCCATATAGATTAAATCAATATTAGAAAGTGTAGCTATGTCTGTCACTTGAAGAGATGCTCATCAAAAATGTTCCAAGTCACATTTCATATGAGTTTTTAGTAATTATTGTATTTTATTTTTCAAATTCTTTATTGTGATTAAGTGGTTACATAAATTTCCCAAATTTCATAGTGTTGTGGGATAGTGATGCTTAGTTCAAGTCACAAACACATTCTAACTTTCATGGGGCAAATTGTCTATCGTGGTCTATAACATTTATGAGTTCTATGAGCTTTGACAATACAGTTATTTCTTCCATATCAGGTTATATGTACATTTCTTTCGTTTTGCTGTTCCCTCTTTCCCACTAGTTCCCTCCCTCCCATTGCCGCCATTGAATTGCTTAGTTCATTTTGATCAATGTCCAGTGCAGCTGATGGGTCCCACTGTTGTATGTTTTTCCCTGATTCCCTCTAGTTCTGTGTCCTCCTCCTGGTTTCCCTCTGGTGTGTACATTATACGATATATGTGATTAGTAGCATGGGGTTATTTAGTGGTGATTCGACCAGATGAGTAGAAGTCCTTTGTTTCTTGAGTCTTGTTAATTTTGTTGTATCATCTTATGTTTTGGGTTTAACATCCAGTTATCAGGGAGACCATGTTCCATTTGTCTCTTTGCTCTTGGCTTACCTCGCTCAACATGATTTCTTCTAGTTCCATCCATTTCCCTGCAAATGCCATTATTTTGTCCTTTCTAATGGCTGCATAATATTCCATTGTATATAGATACCACAATTTTTTGATCCATTCACCTGTGGTGGGACATCTGGGTTGTTTCCATATCCTGGCTATTGTGAACAGTGCTGCAGTAAACATGGAGGTGCATGTGTCCTTGTATATTGGTTCCTGTTGTTCAGGATAGATGCCTAGAAGTGGTATGGTTGGGTCATAGGGCAGGTCAATATTTAGCTTTCTGAGGACCTTCTCAACTGCTTTCCAAAGTGGTTGTATAAATGTACACTCCCACCAGCAGTGTAATAGGATTCCTCTTTCTCCATATCCCCTCCAGCATTTGTCATTGGCTGACTTTAGGATGTGGGACATTCTGACTGGGATAAGGTGGTATCTCAGGGTTGTCTTTATTTGCATTTCCTTCACAACAAAGGATGGTGAACATTTCCTCATGTGTTTCTTTGTCATTTTCATCTCTTCTTCTGAGAAGTCTCTCTTTAGTTTGCTTGCCCATTTAATAATTGGTTTGTTAGGTTTGGGAGGGATTAGTTTCTTGAGTTCCTGTATATACTGGATATTAACCCCTTGTCTGATATATTGCTGGTAAATATTTTTCTGGATATTTAATACCCCTTGTCTGATATATTGCTGGTAAATATTTTTTCCCAGTTAGTTGGTTGTCTTTCTAGCTTGGTTGCTATGACATTAACTGTGCAAAACCTTTTTATTTTAAGGTAGTACCATATGTCGAGTCTCTTTCCAATTTGTTGTGACCCTGGGACTCTGTTCAGGAAGTTCCTGCCTGTGCCTATAAGTTCAAGTGTCTCTCCTACTCTGTCCTGCAGTAGTTTCAGAGATTCAGGTTTGATGTTAAGTTCTTTAATCCATTTTGAGTTGATGTTAGTGCATGGTGATAGGCTGGGGTCCACTTTTAGTTTTCTGCATGTGGCCGCCCAGTTTTCCAAGCACCAGTAGTTGAAGAGGCTGTGTTTCTTCCACTCTATGTCTTTAGCTCCTTTATTAAATATCAGCTGACTGTAGGCGTGTGGTTTTTTTTTTCTGGATCTTCTATTCTATTGCATTGGTTTGCGGGTCTGTTTTTGTGTCAGTACCAGGATGTGCTTGTTATGATGGTAGAGTTCGAAGTCTGGCTTTGGGATCCCTTCCATGTTGTCCTTTTTGCCTAGAATTGTTTTGGCTACTCTAGGTCTTTTGTTCTTCCATATGAATTTTTGGACTGTTTTCTGTATTTCAGAAATGTACGTCACTGGGATTTTATTAAGAATTGCATTGAATTTGTATATTAATTTTGGCAGTATGGCCATTTTCACTTTATTAAGTCTGCCTATCCAAGAGTGTGGAAGGTCTTTCCATTTCCTGGTGTCCTCTGTAATTTCTTTCTTTACGTTTTTATAGTTTTCATTAAATAATTATTTTACATCTTTGGCTAGGTTAATTCCTAAATATTTTATTTTGGAGGGGGTTATTGTGAATGGGGTTGCTTCCTTTATTTCCCTCTCTGCTTGTGCATTGTCAGTGTAAAGGAAGGTTACTGATTTTTGTGGGCTGATTTTCTGTCTTGTTACTTTGCTGAAGTAGTTTATAAGTTCTAAGAGTTTGGGGATGGAGTTTTTGGGATCATGAAGGTATAGTATCATGTCATCTGCAAAAAGGGATAGTTTAACTTCTTTCCCTATGCGGATCCCTTTAATGTCTTTTTCTTGCCTTATTGCCCTGGCTAAGGGTTCCAGGACTATATTGAAGTGGACTGGAGACAGTGGGTATCCTTGCCTTGTTCCTGATTTTAGGAGAATTGGTTGTAGTTCTTCCCCATTAAGTATAATATTGGCTATTGGTCTGTCATATATGTCTTTTATTGTTTTAAGGAATGTTCCTTCTATTCCTATTTTCTCCAGAGCTTTTAACATGAATGAATGTTGTATCTTATCATATGATGTTTTAATACTACATTTATATATTAACTAAATATTGCATTTATATATTCATATATTATAACATTGCATTAAGAATATGTTGTGTGTGTTGAATTTGCATGTTTGGTGAGTTTTGAAGTCTCAGAACACCATAAATCCAAATTTTAAAGGAATTTTTCAAGATTCTCTTAATATACAAGCTTTTCACTTAAGATAATGTAAACAAAGCACATGTTTCTCAGGTCAACATATGTATTTCAATGGCTAGCCAGTGGTATTGGAAAGACATACAGAATACCAATTCAAAAAATTAAAATCACATGTAGTCCTCCATTCAGATAAGGCTGAAATATTTGTTTTACTTACTATTGTTTTGTCTAACATGTGAAGCAGTTTGTTTTAATAAATAAGCTTTAATAAATATTGGAGAATGAAGAGAAATGAATGTATCAGTGAGTAAATGATGAGTATAGACGAGTCTGAATTTTTAAATATAAATTAAATTATCTTAGAAGCATGGCTTTATAACTTACCCCTTTTTACTTGCTATTCCTAGCAATCACATATTCAATATTATGTAATATCATACAGTATTATTTCATAGCTGCATAGCCCAACTGAATAAATATATCCCCTTATTTCACAATTATGGAAAATGATTTTTGAATGATTTATCTGTCACCAATAATGCTTTGCTTTAGACCTTTCTCCTGTATCCATGAATGTCTGGATTCCTTTCGTATGCACCCTTTTGGACATTGGCCCTCTTGTTTTTATTCCCTGACATCACTGCAATTTCCTCCAGAGAAATTAATTAACATTTCCCAGTGGCAAAACTATGCTCTTTCTTTATGTGAGGCTGACATCACTCTCTTCCTTCTACCATGATTGCTGAGCATCCCTTCTTTCTGAAAACACAGGGGGTCTTCTGGATCCAGATCTGAGATTGGCCCTCAGATCCTCTATCACAGAGACATCTAAGAACTAGAACAAATAATACAGGAGAAGTCATTGAGTGCCAATGGACTGAAATATGTTTCACATCAATTTAGAAAGAAAAAGGAATATTTTGTTGTGAACAGTCAAAACTCTAGGCAAGGTTATTTTCCTGCGTAGGAAGAAGAAAAGGCAATCTAAGGCAGCACATTCTTTTTTTCTCCTCAGGAAACAGTGGCTTTTAATTCCTCTCTTCTGAGGCCCCGTGTGATTGGAGAATGGATTGGAAGAGAAGACAATGATGCTGACCCACTAGCTGCTGAAATGCTGCAGCCCCCTGTTCCCAGAAGTAAAAATGACCAATGGGAAAGTGAAGAGAGCAGCTGTAGCCCTGCAGGAAGGTGAGATGAGATGTCTTGTAAGATTCTCTCTTACTGATCACTGAAAGGCAAGCGCAAAATAAACCAAGATTTTGATAGCAATTAGAGAAAGTGGTTAGACTTTTAATATCATAATGATAGCTGGACTTGATTATTCTCAATTGTATATATATATATATATATATATATATGTATACATATATATATATATACACACAGAAAACATTGTGTTATGCACAATAGATACATAGAATTTTATCTGTCAGTGAAACAATTGCTCCGTTTTAAAATATGACGTCTTGGGTTGGGGTTTTGGTTGTTTTCTTCTTCACATCTAGGAAATCACCAATTTTGTGCTACTAAAAAAAATAGAGATAAAATTCCAGTGTTACAATCTGTAAGTTAAGACCTACTTTAAGTGAATGACAAGCTATTAGGAATTAGAGAAAGGGGAATTCTTACATAGTAGAAAGACATAAGTAGTTATGAGACAGAAGAAAACTCAAAGTGTGTAATAAGACCATAAGAGGTAGAATAAACATAAAGAAAGGGAAACCTTAGTTTGGAACAATTTAAGTTTATAATTGGTAACTATGATTGAATATAATCATTAGCATTCCTTAGTTTTTAAATTACTATGATTTATGAACATGAACTTCAAGTTCATATAACTCCCATTTTACTCAGAACTCTGATGTTCAAAATGGTGGCAGGAGATTTGTCCTAAGCATTAGAATACTGGTTGGTAGATTACTCCAACATGATCACTATAATGTCTAGATAATACTTACTAGAAAAATCATATTCAGCATTACCATTTGGGGATAATACCAACTTAACAAGAATGACTCAACACAGAAATGGAAACTTGGAGGACATTGAGATGGCAAATCATGGAGTCATGAATTATACAAGATTGAGAAAACACATTAAAATGTGACAAAATGCCATGCCTGGAGACTCATGTCATGAATTCCAGGTACTCTAGAGAAGGAGATCAGGAGTATCACAGTTTGAAGTCATCTCAGACAAAAAGTTAATGTGACTCCTGTCTTCACAAATAAGCTGGTTTTCGTGATGTATTTCTATGGTCCCAACTGTGGGATTGTGGGAGGCTGTAGATAGGATGATTACAGCACAGCATTATTCTAGGTAAAAATGTAAGACACTACGTGAAAAGTAACTACAGACAAAAAGGATTGGAGGTGTGACTCAAGTTGTAGAACACCTGTTTAGCAAGTTCAAGGCCCTGAGTTCAAATTCTAGTACTGCAAAAAACGTAATAGCAACTTGAACTTTCATGGGTGTCATTTGTTGGCCATTACAGAAGACTTTTTCCTGTGCAGAGAGAAATTAAGCATCAACCAATAATCTTTTCCCCAAGGAGAAAATTGTATTTTATAAAATGTAATAGCTTTTGGGTGCTTTGCTTTGATGTATCACTTGGCTGATGGAGAAAAGGCTCAGACTACTCATTAATATGCTTGAGGCATCTAGAAACACGGTTCTGTTTCCATGAGAAATAACTTTTAAAATTATTTAAATAGCTTAAGTGTCCTCTATAAGGAGAAGAAAAATACTTTAAAAATTTCACTTATCTTCTTTTGAAAAATGCCAGCTCAATTTTACCTGTCAATGAAGGTAATTTTTATTTTTAACACCAGACTTACAGAACTCAATACACATTTATCTTTATTCACTGGTAGATATTTAGGTCTTTAAATATGAAATATAGAAATTTTGACTTTCATTTTGCTTTCAGTTAATAATCACCAGGGCTATTTGTTGGAAATACCACTGCTTCCATTTCCGTCTTTGCTTCAGTAACTGCTAATTCCCCTTGGAAGGCTCAGTAAAGGGCAATCCTTTCTCCAGTCCTAATAGAATCTCCTTGTATCCAGCTTTAGTTTTCTCTAAATTATATGTTGAGATTATTACCAATTAAATGGAAAAAAATGACCAAAGCGTACCCAAGTGCTCCAACTAAATGTAGAAAGCAGTGATAAATTATGGGTGGCACTCTTATCTTCTAATATAAAACAAGATCCCTGAATTTTTATGAAAAGCTCACATTGCATTAGATTTGATTGGCAAATAAGAGTAATTTGGGGAGACATTTTAAATCATGAGTCTATAATCATTTTATTAACTTTCCCATTAAGTAGTAATGACCATGACTATAATTTAACAATCCTAAACATTCAGATACAGAGTGACATTCCAGACTCCACAGAAAAAATCTGATTGTTGTGTTGTTGTCAAAACACATCTATCAATAGACATGAGTGAAGGAGGAAGAAAGGTCTGTCATGAGGCATCTGCCAAATAAAATTTCATTCACAGAAAGGGTAACTGACAGCTTATAGCTTTCCCTCCTTACCCTAACTGGATATTTCCCATTGTTTGTGGAAGTAGAGGTAGTTGTGAATGTGGAGAATGAGGATAATGTGGAGAAATGGATAGAAAAAAGATGAGATGCTACCATGAGGTCCTCAATGGTTGCTGGTGGGCCTGAAGAGGTCTGTAAATTTCTTGAAACAATATGCACTATGTTGTGTGGATGTGGGAATGGGCATTTTCTTCCATATCTTTCTTAGATTCTTAATTTCAGAATTAACAGAGCTTACAAAAACAGTTGAAGCATCTGTACAAACAGAAAAAGAGGGGTTCATACGAGGCAGATGAGTATATTGGAGAATGGCTGAAGACTTTCCATGCTTGTCACTTACCACCTGTGTTGTGATAGCTTATCTAATAGTTAGCAAGAAACCATATATATTCATTGCACATGTCAAGTAATAACAATCACGTGTTTATAATATAAATGTAAATAAAATTGATAAACCTATATAATCACATCTTAAACCCTCTTAATTAAACTTTGCAATAACTGAGTAATGCATTTCCTAAAATCTTAATGTGAATTTGTAAACAAGTTTATCAAGCTTGGAACACTAATGAGGCTCTTTTAAAGCTGAACCAACTTATTAGCATAAGAATAATAACCACAAATATTATAGATCTGGTGAATGAGTTTTGCTAACTGAGCATTGTTATTAGATTGTTAACTATGTCATTAAATTAATAGAAATTCTATAATTTATAAATATATTAAATATTAAAAACAAAAGTAAATTAACTTTCGCTTCAAAAATTATCCTTTTCATTAAAGCACAAAAATTGCTTCTGATGTGTCATTTAATAAAACTGGAAATGTTCATCTTCTATGGAGAGAAACCAAGTGGATAGAAACATACTTAACATTAACTCAATTAGTGATAAGTACCATCCATGATGGAAAATATATCAGAAGAAGAAAGAGGAAACAGTACAGAAGATATATATATATATATATATATATATATATATATATATATACGTGTGTGTGTGTCTGTGTGTATGTGTGTGTGTGTGTATGTGTGTAGCTATGTGCTAGTGGCTGGCTCATGCCTGTAATCCTAGATGGTCAGGATGCTGAGATCCAGAGGATCATGGTTTGAGGACAGTTCATGCAGAGAAGTCTGTAAAATAATCAGCAAGAAGCCTGAGGTATAGCTTTACTGGAGACTCATTAATGTTTGAGTAAGAGCATAGATTCTGCCTACAGTGCTCTAGAGTGAATTTTACACATTCAGGAGATAGTTCACAAAAGATATAATTTAATTTTCCACTGAGCAAGCAAGCAAGCAAGGCCCTGAGTTCTAAACTTGGTACCAGGAAAAATAAAGAGGACTATTTTATATTTCAAGTCCAGGAGCAAAGAAATAACCCTAACATTATAAAATTGCATGCATTGTAAAACTAAGTTACTTAAGGATATTCTAAAATGACATTTTATTTATAAAGAATGTTGATGAAAGTATGGTTTAAGCTCAACCTTCTACTACACACGAAACTACAAATTAAAGTAATAGTGCAATATCACTTCTTTCCTACCAGACTAGCCAAAATTCAAATTAATCTTTTTAGCTATTACTGATGAAAGTAAAAGAATATCTATCTATCTATCTATCTATCTATCTATCTATCTATCTATCTATCTATCTACCTACCTACTTACCTACTTACCTTTCTATCTACCTACCTACCTCCTTACCTCCCAGTATGTATGATAGTACTGGGGTTTGAACTCAAAGCTGTTGTGCTATCACAGCTGACACTCTACCACTTGAGCCATATCTCCAATTCTGGCTTTCTGCTGGTTAGTCAGAATCAACGTTGTGAGGACTTGTCTGACCCCTTGGTTTCAAACCATGATTCTCAGATCTCAGCCTCCTGAGTAGCTAGAATTGTAGGCATGAGCCACCAGCACTGGGCTGAAAAGTATCTGAATACCATTATACCCAGAACCTAGGAAATCACAGTTAAAATGATTTACCTCAATACCAGCATTGAAGTAAATCCCATGGTAGAATTATCTGGTAAGAAATTAAGGGCAAGTAATTAACAATTCAACAAGTAATTAATAATTCTCTTGTAACAAGCATAAAATATTAGCAAAACAAAAGTAGTTACAAGAACAGAACAAAGTGGACATTCTAGAACTGGAAAGATAAATCACAGAAGTTTAAAAAAATCTTGTTGGATGAGCTCAACAGTACAGTAGGGAAGACTAAGATATTAGTGAGAGCAGATCATCAAATTTACCCATTCTGAAGAAAACAGAAAAGAATAATGTGGGAAAAAACTCAGAAACAGAGGAAAAGATGAGGGGGTTGAAAGAAAATGGGAAGTTATAAGAGTTGGAAGCTTCTTAAACATCACCTAGGATATTATTTTCAGATGCATGACACTTGAGTATCCCAAATGGGATGAATCCAAGGAATTTCACAGCAAGGCAAATCATAAACTTTTGGAAAGCAACATCAAGAAAAGAGAGTGCTAGCCTTGAGCAAGAGAAGCTCAGAGATAGTGCCCAGGCCCTGAGTTCAAACGGGGGGAGGACTGGCAAGAGAGGGGGAGGGGTGGGGATGGGGGAAAGAGACAGAGAAAGACAGAGAGAGAGACACACAGAAACACAGAGGCAGAGACAGTCAGAGAGAGAGAGAGAGATTTTGAAAGCAGCCAGATATAAGGATCAAATTACTGTAAGGAGGAATACAATTTAATAACTATGGATCTCTCATCTGAAAATAAGGAACCAGAGGAAGTATCAAAAGAATGCAACTATCAGCTGCAAGTTTTCTATCTGGTGTAATGACACTTCTGGAATGAAGAGGTGTAAGGACTCCTTATGCAGAGGAAAACAGGTAGAACAGCCAGCTAACAGATACTCCTTTCCAGAAGAATTGGAGGAAATTCTTAGACAGAAATAAAATGACAAAAAGGAAAAAAATCTTGAAACATCAAGAAGAAAGAAAAATTACAGAAATATGTACATGGACAACCATCCTCATGAGTTCTAGAAATTAATACTTATGAGTAGACAAAGGGACTGCAAAGTATAATTATTAAATAAGATTAATACAACACAACTATATATTGGAAGGTGTCCACACTTCAAGCCAAGTGGTATATGTTGATATTCATACAAATTTTATTAATTGGGCTATGTCACACATGTGTAAGAAGAATCATTAAGAAAACTATATGAAGAGATACAAAAAGCCTTATAACTATTATGAGATAACATGGCCCTTCCCAAAATGGTAGGCATACATATAAAAGTTAATTTTTTAAATCTTAGCATAACATTTTGTGTACATGTGTTTCATTTGATATTAATTTGTCTTGTACATCAGGGAATAATAATCTGGACGTCTAGCTCCTCTGGAAAAATAAAAAAATTCCATTAGCAATGCACTAATTTATACATGTCAACCATCATAGGACAAATTATAACTTTTTTAAGTGGGTGCAGAAGTTTTTTTATCTCCTCAGTGTTGACATCAGAATTTTTAGTGAGGTATCAAAGGGGGTCTAAAGAAGGACTCTATCTTCATTTTCCATGGTGACAACTTAAAGGTAATATGTTCATGTACGTGCCTAACAAAATGAAAGGCTACAATGAACAATAGTGTATAGATTTCCTTCCTCATCCTAGCTTAACAACATTCATCTATTTCCTCAGCTTAAAGATGGAGCCCAAGACCAAAGGATTAAAACAGCAGCAACAGCAACATAAGAAACTGCTGGCAGCAATGCTGTCTCAGGATTCCTTTGAGTCCATCCACAGCCCTACACCATCCGTCACAGAAGAAGATATTGATAACGAGGATGATGCAATGGAGTTGCTGGGTAATTTTAAAAATTAATCATTTCTATTTTTCTTCTCTGATATTGTAAAAGGGTCCAATGATTAAGATAATTTTTAAGTTTTGAATAGTTTTTGTCTTGGGGGAAAGAAAGCATATTGCATATACATTCTTTACTTTACACTTTGATGAAGTTGCATGTAAGAAGGACATTGAAGTAACTCAAGCATGTGAATTTTTATTAGACTGTACTCTGTGCTCTATGTACACAGCACTCTTATCTTCTGATAGCTTAATCAAGCTTTATTCTGTGTGATTGTGATAAAAACTCAAATCTGTCTGCTTTATTCTATAATACTTGCCTTGATCACACCTGCTGTCTGTACATCCAAAATTTATTTTCAGCCCTCACCTAAAGATTTTCTTCTGCTTTAGGCTGCTTTGGAAAGATAGAAAGATGTTGCAAGAGAAAGAAAGAAAAATTAATGTTTTAGGTCTTCCATAAATGACAGGAAAGTTTGCAGAGATTTCAAAGTCTTCAAGAGATTGTTATTTTCATGAAAACCTTATTAATATTGTTTCTGTAAGATACCTTTTAAAATATGTTTAGTGAAGCAAATGTAGGGTTTTTGCCCCAATGGAAATCTTTTTATAGAATTTTTAAGTGGAGATTCACTTTGGAAAATCAATTTTCTGAAGGAGGGAAATGAAATTTTATTTCATTGTGAGCCACATTAAAAAAAACCCCACAATATGTTTTAACTCAGTGACATTAATTAAACCACCATCAAACAATTTTTGCTTGTAGAATACGGAATCCTAGATTGTCAGGGGAGAACCATCCACTTTCATATTTCTTGGTTTTAAGTATTGTTAATAGTAGTTCACTCTTATAAGGCTACCTGGCTACATAAGGTACAATTGAAGCACATTTCATTATAATAAATCACATATGTCTCCATGCATGGACTTACAAAGGTGTTATTTAGTCAATGACATCAGGCTTGAAGATATTTTCTGATGATATAGTAACTGCATTCATTCCACTGGATGACAATGTCATGACATTTTCACTATGTGTTTTTGAGCCTTGTTTTAAATGATTAAATCTTATCTCTAAATCATTAATGTGGCTGTTGTAACAGATATGGCCATGGTACTTTCAAACTTCTCAGCAACATTTTACTGAGCATTTCTATGGTGCTAGGCACTGGTCTTGGTCCTGGGGATGTAAAAATAAAATAATAATGGTATCTGTTTGCAGGAACTTCCTATGTTAGTATGCCTGTGATAACTGGATTGAGGCACTGTTGTATAGAGAGGTAATACAGTGATCAGAGGAAGTTTCATAGAGAGCCCGATTCCTCTGTATCTGTTAAGCACTCGTAGGTGTAAGTTCAGCAGGTGATCTTGTGAAGGTTTGCTCATATATGTATGGGATCTTTGGTGACTGTGCCTGTCATTCCTCTGCTTGGGTCAGTAATAGTGACTGAGGTGATCAAAGGATTCTTTAAGGAGATTCAGTTGTCCTCTTGCTCATGGAGCCCACTGTATCTCTGCCTCTCTGTTCACACACTCCCACTCTTCCAATTTGGAGACAATTAGGTTTCAGAACCTATCTAAAGATGAGCAATTAATAACTGGTCGTATCCATTTTTTCCCATTCAAGACATATTACTATGTGTACTGAGCAAGTTGGACAATGAGAAATAGTGAAAGTTTTCTACTTTACATGGTCTCACTTATCTCAGCAGGAGGGGTTGGTTTCTAAGATGTGAAACTTCCCTGTAATAACATGAATGGCCCAAGTACATTGGGGTATCCTCTAACATAATGACATATAAAATCCTCTATTTTAAAAACTGATTTTAAAAACAATGATTGTGTCTATGTGAGGAAAATACAAGTGTTAACTGCTTGATGTTTTGTGTGAAATCAAATTAAAGTGCAGAGAATGATTATAAGATGCATAGAGGTGCTTGGTATTTAAAATACCTTTTTTGAATCCATAATATGTTGTAGAATGAGTTTGCTACAATATATGTGTTTCTGAGGGTTGCATTTACTGTTATATATGACTGAAACTGGCTGAAAAGTTTATTTATTATGCATGAGAAGTACTCTGTAAACCTTGTAAAGTGATAAAAAGTAAAAGACATAACTATTAGCTGACGTAGTATAAAACATTCTTTAATAAAATTGATTTGACTTAAAGGAAAAATCTTTTAGTTGAACTAGTACATGTAAATGAAACTAATGGTCCTTGTTTTACTTATTAAAATATGTGCCATGGTTAATATGTACTGACTAATAGTCAATTATTCAATTGTTTAATTATATTTTTGTGGATTTATTTTCTCACATATATTAGATAAGTGAAAATATTACAGTACAGACAGTAGCAGTATTTTAAAAATAGATTTTTTCTGTAACATGTTTTAAATGCTACCTATCAATTTATAGTGCAAAGGTAGCTTAGTATGAAATTAATCAGAGAATAAAATTTCCAACTTGCCGGGTGCTGGTGGCCCATGCCTGTAATCCTAGCTACTCAGGAAGCTGAGGTCTGAGGATCAAGGTTCAAAGCCAGCCTGGGCAGGAAAGTCCATACGACTCTTATCTCCAATTAACCACCAGAAAACTGGAAGTGGTGCTGTGGTTCAAGTGGTAGAGTGCTAGTCTCGAGCTGATGAGCTCAGGGACAGGGTCTAGGCCCAGAGTTCAAACCCCACGACCAACAAAATAAATAAATAGATAATCCAACTCTAGGGCTTAATAAAAGGGGATACATCAGTTTTAATACCTCTGGAATTGATTGTAATTATAGAAGATGCTAAAAATACATATCTTGTAAGTCCTCTTCTACTATGTAGTTCTTAGCTACAAATGTAAGACAGTCTTAAATTTTTAGTAAAATACTAAAATGACCAGAATGCAAAAAGATCTTTGCAGAGAATTTTCACATGTTCTTAAATAATCATTAAGTTTGAACAAACTTTCAAAATGAAACAACTCATACAATAGCAGAACAGATTTATAAAATTCCTATATATTTTACTCTACTATTCTCACAGAAGATTAGAGACTTCATTAGTATAAAGGATATTTCAGCTTGCTAATGTGAACTCATTTTATTCTATTGCATGCATGTATTATCTTCATCTTGTTGATAATCAAAATGTAATCCTCTACATGATTTATGTCCCTTTTTAAAAACATCAGAACTATTTGAATGTCACTACTTTTATTACATAGTTTAATATTGATTATTACTTGGAAAAATTTTTAGGCCTTCTTAGAATTGACATTGAAGCAAATATATAAAAATTACATTCCAGAGATGATAAAAGAAAAACATGAAAACTATTGTCATGGTTTATATTTTCTGGCTATTTCTTATAATTACATAAAATTGAAAATTAAAGCTAAAGTTATATTATTAAAAGCAATCAAGGTCCTTGCAAATAGTGTAAATAAATATTCTTTGTTGAGTGCAATCATTGAGTTTCTGTGCTTTGACATCTTACCAAATATTGTAAAATGAAAAATTGCCAGGACTCATTAAATCAAGATACTCTTCTGGTAAACTCTTTTTAATTTTGACAAACCTTTCATAAAGCAAACATCTACTCTCTTTTTCTTCCTAAGTTGAGTATATCTTAAGACAGGAAACTTTCCTCCAATATTTGCAAAATGAGAACATTCATTTCACCTACTGAGTTAAGGTTGTTCTCACTTGATGTACAAATACAAAAAATTTGAGGCCTCTGAATTCTTTTTTAAAGTTTCCTATGCTCCTACCCATCCATATCTCAATATTTTAAGGTGTGTAAAGTCCAAAACACAGGGACTATACATACAATGTTTTTCCTTTTTTTTTTCTTTTGTGGACAATACAACTAGGACAATACAGTTTTTTTTTTTTTTTTTTTTTGCCAGTCCTAGGGCTAGACTCAGAGCCGGGCACTGTTCCTGAGCTTCTTTCACTCAAGGCTACACTCTACCACTCTACCACTGGAGCCACTGCACCACTTCTGGCTTTGTTTATGTGGTACTGCAGAATTGAACCCAGGGCCGCATGCATAATAGCTAAGCAAGCAATTTACCACTAAGCCACATTCCCAGCTCAATACACAATTTTTACTTTAAAATTAGGATTCTTCATTAACGTTTTCATTAAGGAGATAGTTTAGTAAAAAATTTTAAAAGCCCTAGGGATCTTCCAATATTGCCTATAAGATTGCTTTAAATACTATTTATACATTCATTCTGTATAAAACAAAAGCAACTTAATATATAATTAATACATACTGTTAATTAAAACACCCAAATTGGTGATTTTTTAAGATGTAAATGATATGAGATAAAATATCTCTAACTAAAGTTGGTAAAGAAACTGAATAAAACAATGTCCAAATTACCTTAATCTAAGTCTTATCTTCAAATATATGGTATTCTAAAAGAAAAGAAGTCCAGTAGTTTTGCTGGCATTTGAGCATCACAATTACCCAAACATAATAGAAAACCTACATATATATTTTTGAATGTTTAGTATAACTGAAAACCAGATGATTGTGAAGATATATGAGAATATCTTTTACAAGCTAAATATTCTCTATTTAAACCCTATATTAGTTTACAACATAAGCTTGGTGAAAAACGTCTGCTACAGACTTTCTACCTGCTTCTGAATTCTTTCAGGTAGTGTGGTTTGAACTCAGTGCCTCATAATAGCTCAGCTTGCTTGCTTCTTTGATTGGTGTTGTACCATTTGAACCACACCTCAGCCTGGCTTTTTGTTGGTCATTTGGGAGATAGAATCATGTGGACTTCTATGCCCAAGCTGACTTTGAATCAAGATCCTTCAGGTCTTAGCCTCGTCAGTAGCTGGGATTACAGACATGAGTTGCACAACATTTTAAATGAACATAAATTTAATCTTTAAAGTGCATCTCTGCTTAAGTACTTGAGCATACTCTTGTTTGTTTTTATAACCTCATGATTGTTTACATTTATGTGGCCTATAATTTTCCACTCTGATCT